AGGGATGGGGAAAGGGATGAGGGTGATGATGGAGTTGGGGACAAAGATGATGATGGAGTTGAGGTTGGGGATGGCATGGACGTGGGGACAGGGATAGGGACAGAGGTGATGGGGTTGACATTCGGGATGGGAACAGGGATGAGAACAGGGACAAGGGTGATGATGGGGATGGGGACAGAGGTGAGGGACAGGGATGGGGACAAAGATGATGATGGGGTTGAGGTTGGGGATGGCATGGACATGAGGACAGGGATGGGGACAGAGATCACAAGGTTGAAATTGGGGATGGGGACAGGGATGAGGACCGGAGTAAGGGTTATAATGGAGATGGTGACAGGGACAAGGATGGGGACAGGGATGAGGGTGATGGTGGAGATGGGGACAAAGATGATGATGGGGCTGAGGTTGAGGATGGCGTGGACATGGGGCCAGAGATGATGGGGTTGAAGTTGGGGATGGGGACAAGGATGGGGACAGGGCCGATGGTGATGGGGACAGGAGTGAGGGTGATGATGGGGATGGTGACAGGGATGGGGACAGGGATGGGGACAAAGATGATGATGGGGTTGAGGTTGGGGATGGGGATAGGGATGGGGACACGGCTGAGGGTGATGGGGACAGGGATGAGGGTGACGATGGAGATGGGGACAAACATGATGATGGGGTTGAGGTTGGGGATGGTGTAGACGTGGGGACAGGGATGGGGACAGAGACGATGGGGTTGAAGTTGGGGGTGGGGACAGGGACAGCGACAGGGCCGAGGGTGATGGGGACAGGGATAAGGGTGATGGTGGAGATGGTGACAAGGACAGGGATGGGGACAAAGATGATGATGGGGTTGAGGTTGGGCATGGGGACAGGGATGGGGATGACGATGGGAGAAGGGACTGGGATGATGGTGGGGATGGTGGTGGAGGTGATGGGGATGAGGACAGGGCTGGTGGCAGCAGTGGGGACAGTGCCGGTGCCAGGAACGGGGTCGGCGATATCAATGGGACAGGGACGCTAGCGGTGACGGTGATGATGATGATGATGATGCTATCAGTGATGGCGAAGAGGAAGGTCGGTGCCACCAGGTCCCCAAGCAGGGCACAGCCCCGTGAGCAAGCCCGGTTGGGGAGAGCCGGCAAGGCCAGACTACGCTGACGGGCTGGGGGGTACCGGTGCCCAGCTTGGGGGGGCCACGCCGTGTTTTGGGGGCTGGCCAGAG